GACCTCAGGCGACGCCGCGACGGCCCGGGGGCTGCTTCGCGTGGTCCAGGGGCTGGCGATGCCGCGGCTCCGCGGACGCCCCCCGCTCTGCGAGCTCCTCCTGCCCCATCCGATCCTCCAGCGAGAGGAAAAGAAGGAAGGGGGGGAATTCCGGCCTATCCCGCACCTCCGCCTTCCCACCCTCGCGCGGGAGGGGATTTTCGTGAAATTCGCCCCACCGATCTTCGTCGACGGGGAACGGGGGGGGTCAGTCGCTGGGGGCCGCACCCCCGCGCGGTGGCCCCGCCGGCCTGCTACACCCTCACGCAACTTCTCATCACGATGCTCACGCGGCAACCGGCCTACGCCAGTCTCACCCGACAGCGCGATATCCGCGCGAACCTCATCGAAGCGAAGGAGGAGGAGGGGGAGGAGCTGACGATGGTGAAAATCTCCCGCGTGCAGGGCTGCCGCCCGCCGAGTAGGTTGCCGCCGCGACTGCGCATGCTCTGCCGCCGCGCGCTGTCCTTTTCGAAGGACAACCCAAATCTTACCCATCCGATCGCGTGGACGGACGAGAACGTAATGCGCCTCCAGGACCTGGGAAGCGATACAAGCGAGAGGGTCGGGGGGACTCTTGAGGAAAGTGCTTCGTCGCTAAACCCACTCACCCTGCAGGAGTTTTGTGAGCAACTACGGCTGCAACTGGTGGAGTTAGAATCCTCACCGGATATGTATTTTTCGAATTCGCCTTTAAACGATTCAAGCATTTACGGGGACGAGGAAAGCAACGCAACTTTTCAGGTGGAGATAAATCCTATTCACGGGGATACCCCTTTAAGCGCCAGTATGCTCGATGACTACGGTGAGGAAGATTAATTTTCAAAAGAACCCTTAATTCCCATTAAGAATAAAGAGCAGTAGAGTCTTTTTTTTTAACATTGTTTCTTTTGAGTTAAAAATTGCACATATTCAATTGTGTTTTTTAGTTAATACATGTTCATAGAAATATTTGTTATCTCTTCAATTTGCATTGCAAAAGTGTATATGTGTGTGTTGCCTATTTAACATTTATCAAACAAACCACATTGGCATTGCTTTCCTTTCAATACATCGGATTCCCCATTTGGTGAAGATGCCATGGAAAAAAAAGTAACAATGCCTGTTTCAAATGAATTTTTTTTTTCCTGAATCCTTATTATCTTTTTATTTTCAAGGTTAGACCATTTTTACCCTCTATCCTTGGTCTATACATTTGAGGTTTGCTCTTGTTTTTCTAGGCTGATTTTACTATTAGGTGTGTGTGGGTTGTTGATATTGTTGTTGCTGTTACTTGTATCAAAGCCATATTCACCACGCGATACTTTTATTAATAGATTTCCCTCACAAATTTCAGAATAACGTAAAAGCTTGGGCTCATCTTGTATCTCTACTTCGATCTACGTAAATTACTATCAAACGTCTTATGCACACGGCATTGCTTTAATTTATTTGGGGGGTGTCTTGTCTTTTTCTAGAACTCTTTCGTTACGGTTTGCGTACACACCTAGACAATTAAGCAGAGTGGTACAACTATAGACTGTGAGAGAGGTATAACTGTAACAGCTCGCCCTAGATTTACATAAGGCGTTGCGTTATTGTTATTATTATTATTATTATCATTATTATTACCCCCTTTATAGACCTTTTGGATGCCTCATTCCACTCGATTTCTCATCCCGAACGCGTGGGATCCCACCGAGGTTGACAAACCCCCTCAAAGCCCGGGCCGGAGGTCCCTTTTGGGGTCCCCCCAGGCCCCCGACCCGAACGCGGCGACGGAGCCGTGGGGGCCGAACTCAGACCTCTCCTTCAGCCTCACCAGCAGCAACGCGACGCCGCTGCACGCGAGCACGGGGAAGAGTAAACGTAAAGGGAAAAGGGAGGCCCGAGATGGGCCCGAAAAGGATCGGGCCGAACAAAACAGGAAAGACTACACACATAAAGAACAAACAGGGATGCGAACGCCATCAGGCATAGGTAGGACATCCACACCACTTGGGCGATCGCGATGGCGGGAGGCGGGGGGGAGAGAATCCCATCGTCAAAGTAGTCATCCCCAGCGTGCGGGGGCCTCCGGGAACCCGTCCTGGCCCTCGGGGCGATTTTCCCTGATTTTGTGCTCGCCTAAATCCCCACGGACGCCCTTGGGAGTCCGCGCCGGGTCCTCGCCGATGGCCCTCGCGAACGAGCGGCGGTCGGGCAGGACCGCGGCGGTGCGGGAATCGCGCAAACTCTTCTCGACAGACCACAGCGGGGAGGAGTGGGAGATCCGGCGGCGGCGTCGCGCCGGATTGAAAACAGCGTCGGCGGGCCCATCTCCAGCCCCCGCGCGCATGGGATCCCCCCCTTCGGGCGCGGTAGATCAAACGGCGGGGTGGTTTGAGAAGATTTGCCCCTACCCCGCGCGGAATCCGACCTCGGTGGTAAAAAAGAACTTGGAAAGAAGCACCGTTGCCTTTGCGAAGTACCACAGTGTTTGCCAGCAGCTCGCCGAAGCCTCCGATCAAATTAGGTTTCTTCAAGATGCCCTGCGCAAGGCCCACGAGGAGGCAGAGCGGCGCTTGATAAATTTGAAAGAAGCCTTTGCGGAAAAAGAACTTACGTTGCGAGAGGAGATCCGGCTCTTGCGAAGGGATATTCCCGCAGAGTCAGCCTTTTTGTGTAGGAAATTCTTATAAAGACTCTATCCTAACGCAAAGAAAAAACGTCCTTTTAAAAAATGCGTATATGGTAAACTTTCACCTTCTTCGCTGTCACATTCGAGGGCTTTTGCGATAATAAAATAGCGTGAGAATCCACTGAAAGGTTCAAGTTAGGTTTCGCTACTCGGTATCTCTCCCTCTTTGAGAGCATGCATTGTTTACCAGCGATTTCTAAACAAAAGTTTGAAGGGTGTCTAAAATGCATCGCTTCTGTATTACTATCTTTGGTTGATTCTCTTCAAAAAGAGAGGTTTCTCTGCTTGACGCTTAGATGTAGTTATAGTGCTTGATCAATGTTTTTTAGAGACTTGTGTGTTGCATTTCTTCTTTTTATATTTCATTTCTTTCCTTTCACTACTTTCTTTGTTTTTTGGCCTTACTAATTCCAATCACAACCACATTTTTTTACAATATATTTAATACAAAAGAGGACATAATACGGATATTTAGTCTAAACTTATTTGATTCTATAACTTTTTCTTCTCTGTGGTGAAGATATGAAGTACACCGCCGGACTTCGAGCGCCGTTAGCATCATGGAGAAATTTCTCCTCCATCCGATGGGGTGCCCTCCGTGCGATTTTAGCTCCTTCGCTATGTAGTTTTTCCTCCAAATTGACATTTTATTCTCCCGTAAGCTGTGGCCCTCGCCGATACTACGCCTCTTCCTCATTTACAAGTTCTACGGAAGAGCTATCGGGAAAAAAATTGAACGCAAAACCAAAATATTCACAGAAAGGCATGGATGGATTCACGGATGTAAAATACAATAAGGTGGCGGATGCCTTTTTGATGCATATTGAGATCGTGATCGATGATCTTTTAAATGATAATATAAAGGATATCAACCTGAGCGATGGCGTGCTCACGATCGAAACGACGCAAGGCACATTTTTATTCAATAAACAGGCTCCTAATCTACAAATGTGGTTATCATCACCGATCTCCGGTCCACATCACTACAATATGGTGGAAAGTGGGGAAAAAAATACATCCACTAACGAGGAAAAGGAAGAGAATATGAAAAGCAATCTGGACGAAGTGAGATGGATTTGTGAGCGTGATGGGCATGACCTGACGAAAAAGATAGAAGAGGAGCTGTCAGAGGTGCTGGGCGTGAAGATAGCTCTTTAAGGCTCTCTTTATTCTCATATATTATATATATATATATGCGTACATTACACAATATGAAGGGGAAGTAAAGCTTCACGAAGAAGATGGTGAACTCCCCCTGTCAATCAAATGAGTATATGCTGTTCTTTTCATCAATATTTTTATTCCCGCCTACTTAAAAAAAAGCTGAGTAAAATGGAAGCTAGCAAGCCTTAATAATGTATCGATATGCAAGTCTACGTTTACAACGTTACCATCAGTCTGAGAGAAGGATCGAATTCTTTTAACTTCTCTCCTGATTAAGAGGTAAATTTAAACGAAGCAAAATTTTATTATTTTATATTTTTTACCTTGCCACTTTCAATTTCCAATTGACTTATCATATTTAGTTCCTTATCTAATATTATTATTATCATTGTCCTATTACCATCATCACATGCGAGGTGAAACATCACGATGTGTAAACGAGTCGAATAATAATACTACTAATACTAATAATCGGGTCCCTCATTATCTTTGGGGAAAAGTTGTTTAAAATACCCTGGTATGGTCCTCCCATCTACATTATCCCCTAGGGGGGGGGGAGGGGGGGACTTCCCCTGGTAAAATCTTCTGCAAAAAGCGCCTTTATTTTCTTCTCCCCATTGCTACCGGGGATCCACCACCCCTCCGAAGTATAGCCTCACACGATCTACATCTATATCTACATCTACATCTATATCTACACCCATATCCGTAGAGAGAGCGCGCGGTCTCTGTTATATGTGACAGAACCCCCCGGTCCACACCGTCCAAGCGCCATCGGCTTCATTGACCTCCACCTGCCCACCGAAGCGGACCACCCGAGCCCGGCATGGCGAGCCCTCGCCCGTGTCCCCACCCCCGCTCCCCGCGGGCCGACGCCGACGACGCGAC